TCCGTGGCGCAGCGAAAAGCCTGAACGGCAGTAAGCACGAGTACATATACGACTCGGAGCCTGCGGCGGCGCTGAGAGAATCTATCGCTAGATTAATCTCTCACACGCATTTCACTCATTCTGTTTGCAGCTCCCTCCTCTCCTGCCATCACATTCGACGAGCTCACTTCCTTGCAACCTCCATTCCGGCATAACGCCTAAGTCCCTTGTCGTAAGTTAACACATACTACTGGAACCATGCAATTACGTGCGCGTGTGTCACTAGATGCCTAAACACAACGTGGTTTGGCGATTCTGGTCGTTAAGAGGCAAAGGAAAAGTTTTTGTTTTTATTGATGCTGATCCTGGAAAGCTCACGGTGCGATGGATTCTTGGGACTTGTGCGGCGGCGACGATTCATGCGCTTTTACCTTACGAATCTAATTATTCACGGTGCGTAGCTGCCTTTTTTTCCCCGATGACTGCATCTAGACCTTCCCCACTGTTCGCCGCTGCATGCGTGCCAACTGTGCGGACAGCGTGATAGCAGGATCGTGGAGCTGAACTCTCACATCACGGAGGATAGGAGACGCGCGTTACGGGATGTTCCCTATAAAACTTAAGGTTAGGGGCCGATGGAAATTATGACGCCGTAGGAGACGCACACCGCAGGCTGCACCAACAAAATAGAACCGGGGTTGCGCATCAAAAACCTCGGCTCGTCGACAAGGACGTTCTACGCGGCCAGCGAGGTCGGCGTGGATGTGTGGCTTGGCATGTTGCGGGTAAGGCTTGCGAGCAGCAGTTGCTTCTTGCGCGTATACTCCCTGTGAGGCTGCTTGCTGCCATGCGTGGTGCGCGCGTTCATCTTGAGTGCCATGAGAGATCACCCGGACGCGGCAACGCTGGCTTTGGCGCAAGTGGTGGCATTTGGCCGTCGGACCATTCGACTGTAGCAGGAACACCGCGCAGCCGATATTTTAGAGTCAAGGCTGTTTGTTTGGCCTCAGACGCGATGGATGTGTCTTTCTATTTTTTCTTCACCGGCCGCGATGGGTTCAATTCCTGTCGCGTGTCAACACAGATCTGTAGAGGGTGGAGGAATCCAATGCATCCGGATTCTCTTTGGACGTCGCACGCTTGCCCTCGCTCTTCGGACGTCGGATGCTTGCAGAGTTTCAGACACCTACCCTCGTTTTTCGGACCGCGATCGCGAGTGGCACTTGAGAAGACAACGTCGCTCAGCTGAGCCTCTCAAAACCAGATGGCAGGGCGCCGCTTCATGGGCGCTGTAGTATAAAGAGTAATGGTGAACTGTAAAACACGTCAAGTGAATTGAAAGGAAGCAGGTTAGATCCGCAAACAGAGGAGATGCATCGGAAGTGATCTATTACCGGCCGCGATGGGTTCAAGTCCTGTCGCGTGGCAGGGTAGCGCATGCAGTGCATCCGGGTTTCGCACGCTCGCCCTCGCTCTTCGGACCTCGTGTGCTGCTTGATAAGTTCAGCTGAGCCTCTGGAATGCAGATGGCAGAGCGCGGCTTCATGGGCGCGCTCCAGGATGGAAGAATGATGCCGATCTGGAAAGCACGTCAAGTGAATGGAAAGGAAGCACGTTCGGAGATGCATCGGAAGTGATCCATTGTTCTGACCTCGCGCCGGGAAAGCTCTTCGGAGAGAGAAAAAAAGTCCAGTCGCTCGCGAGCAGAGTGGGGTTTGAACCTGCGAACGTGAGCATCTTCCACCGGTACTTCCTCAGAAACTGCCGGAACTTAACGATACCGGCCGAAAATGTTTGAAAAAAAAGCACGGACTTGAGTAAAAAAGCCTGGATTAACGCAAAATCCGCCGGTTCGTGAGCAGAGTGGGGTTTGAACCCACGCCTCTTGTGAAGAGACCACGGCCTAAACGTGGCGCCTTAGACCGCTCGGCCATCTGCCCATTACGTTGACCACATTTCTTAAACAGCATACTGATGGTTAGCTGCGCGAAGTCCTTCGTTTTCCAAAAATTTCAATTAATTTAGCTCAGAAATTCTCAAAAGGTGGCGGAAAAGGCGCTGGATGATGCCAGCAACCTTCCGGCACTCACCTCTGCCAATTTGGATGGCGACGATGTCGCCTGCGCACCGCAACGACGCTTCCCGAAGTCGTGGGAAAGGTGTTGGCGTTTTTCGTAACGTTGTGTAACATTGAGACAGTCTCCGGCGAGGCGGATTTTTTGAGGTCCAAAGCAATGACGTACCTGTATCGGCCACTTGGAACCATTTCTGCCATTCAAGGACTTGGATCGCAGATTTGCGCAGGTCACTCCCATCGGATCTCTTCAGTAAGGTGCAGTACGTAACACACTCTTTGCTCACCTTTGGATCCTGCAGCAACCGGCATCGGTGATGGGTCCATGGTCAATGATCTGACACCTGCAGCTACAGCTGTTGGCAAGTTCTGGACCTGGTCAGTAGCTGCGGTAAGTGGGTACCTTGTGAAGTTGGGCAGTAGAGGGCTTGATCGACGGCCAGCTTCATCCGATGGCCACTGCAGCTTTCAGCATGATAGAAGACGGCATCCGACGGCCTCCTTTGAGCAAGAAAACCATTGTGATACATTTCTCTGTGCCACTCTCCGTGCGTTTGAAGTTTGTTCCGAAGTTGAAACCTTTTCACACTCCGCCAATCACGTTGCTCCCCATGGAACGAAAAGTGATGGACGCGCAACTCTGTTCATCGCGAATTCGCGAATGACGCGACTGGCTCAGGTAAACCTGCTGCTCCAGCCGGTCGTCGATTTAATATCATGCCATCTGCAAACTAACACCGCGTACTGGCGCTCCTCATCCCTTTTCAGAATAAAGCTCTCCAACATCGCCGCAAGCTCTTCAGAATTGTACCCAAACATCTCACAGTATTCGTCCAGCACAAAAAACCCTAGTTTCTCGAGCTGCACCACGTATCGCGTCCGCTCCGCCACATCAACCTTTGCCACGCGCGAGATCAAGTGCTCGGGTTCGGGATGGCGGAACGCTGCAACATCCATCATGACTCGGTCGATGCCCGCCGCAAGCATCGATTTGAACGGGTTGCGTTCAGGCGTCAGGTCGTCGACTGCTTCCTTGCCGACGTATAAGAGGTGGACGGCGTTGACGTAGCGCTGGGGAACGAACCACTCGAGAAACACGTAGCCGACTAGCAGGAGCTCGGGGTCCATCATCCTGTCCTCGTCGTCGTCCTTGACCGACGCCGTCCTCCGCCGCGACGTGCGCTTTAGGCGCACCCCATCGACAACGCAGAGAAACTGCCGCGTGTTCTCCGGCAGCGATGCCCTGACAGCTGGGGAGCTTCCAGCGGTCTCCAGCGATAGGTAGCCTCCAAGCAGCAGCCAGTGGATCTGGGAATACCGCAGTGCCGCGAACTCGAGGAACTTTTCCCAAGTGGACAGAAACTCGTGCGTTGCCATGTACGAGGGGGTCGCAAACGCCCCGAGATGCCTTGTGCGGTAGAGAAACTCAAACTCGTCGCGCCGATGTTTCAGCGCCTCGATTCCGCGCGCTTCAGGACGCGTCTCGCGGTATCGCTGAACCAGCGGGTCTGGGCGGTACACGATGGGCTCTGGATTAAAGTTGGGACCAACAAGGTTGTTCTGTCTGTCGATCACCGGCTCGATTGGGCAGCGGTAGGACGTGACTTGGAAGTTGTCGATGGCACCCATGCGCGCGTGGGAGAGGGAGCAGGTTTTGCGGGAACCCTCAAACAGCTGCCGAGGACGCCAGCGGCCTGTGCGGAACTTTCCGCCGCCGCCACATTGCGTGCAAAAGTCTGATTATCACGGTCAAGACCAAAGCAACAGTTAGAATGCAACGATGGACGGGATAGAGGGAATAGAAACTCACTGAAATTCCGCACGCAAGCATCGCAAACCGGCTCCACGCTTGCCCTCGGCTCCACCCACTCTCTCTCCTTCCCCTCCCCTCTCGCCCCGGCCGTCCCAACCCTTACACCTCCGACCCCGATCCTCCCGTAACACGCCTCGCAATACACCACGCGATCCCTTCCGGCGGTTTGCGCACGCCGTTTCTTGGACATCTGCTCCTGGATCGGCCTGAACGCCGGGCTCTGGTCCAGCACCCAGGGATCGCGGTTGACGGCGCACGCAATGCAAGAAATGTCGCTCAACAGGGGTTCGGCGAGGTCTTGCGGCGTCCCGTAGAAGATGTGGACGCCTATGGGGTTGCCGCAGGTGGTGCAGCGGAAGCGGAGGGATGTGGAAGATTTGGAGAGGTGGATTGGGGGGAGATCATCTGGGGAGTATGGAAGACGCGGATGAACCATGACGTCTTTTGGCGAATGTGTCGCTGCAGGATATTTATGGGGGCTGGAATCGCGCGACGAGGGGTTCGATGAAGGAAAGGTTGGCGGTGGCGGTGTTGGAGTGGACTGAAAATTGGCAGTTGACGCACTATGAACGCCTGGCAGGACAGGATGGATCGTGTGCTGGGGGACGTGGGTGGTGGCGGTGTTTTCAGCAGTTGGAGAGCCTCGAGCGCGATCCATCAGCATCGTATCCATCCCCGTGTGTTGGTGAGACCGCCTTGGCGATCCTTGCAAAGGTAGCCCGAACGACGGCGATTCGCGGCGAACTTCAAGCCCAGTCTGCTGAGGTTGCCGGTGCTTGCCGAGAAGAGCTTCGAGGAAGGTAAAGTCCACGCCAAACATGTCTTCATCGGCCGCTGCATTGTCGGTTGCGTTGAGGCGGCCTTGGCTTGGTGAAGGGCTTCTGAAGGTTGTTTGCGATTGAAACAGCTCCGACATCCATTGGTTTTTTTGGGCCCCGCTGTTCGGCACTGGAAAGAGCGGAGGTTTGCTTTCCAGTCCCTTTGGTGCGATAGAGTGCTGGTGAAGGGGGTGGGTGGACGGAGGAGTGAAAGAAGATAGCTGAGCTCAAAATAGTTTTAGTAAGGCCACATTGAAGACCGCAAGCTCACATTTGCCGTTGGTGGTGACGCGGTCTGCCCGACGCCTGACGGGAAGGTATGGAGGATGGATGAGGGGCTGATGGGGAACACCGGAGGTGGGAGCCCGTGCCCTTCCCCTCCATGCATAATCTCTGAGTTTTGCGCGACCGACGTAGTCCCAGGCTTCGCAGAATGCATCTCCAGAGCCATTCCGCTCATTCTCGGCGGGGACATTCGGATGGGTTGCGGGAAAAAGTGATGAGGATGTGAACTCCCCAAAGCCGATGGCTGGGCGACGTCAAGCCCAGAATGGCTGTTGCTGCGGTACAGATTGCTGTTGTCGGTAACGTTGGCGGTGGAGCTCATTTGCGACTGGCCATCGAAGCCTTGAGGTTGATGGATCGAAGTCGAGGAGGTGTCGGCGGTGCTGTTTGGCTCAGATTCGTTGCGCAGTTGTTCAAGTTTGTACTGGAGCTCGAGGATCTTGCGGCTTTCCTCCTTTGCTTTGGCTTCAGCTTCCTTGATGCGTCTGAGGAATAGAGAGTTAGCGGATCGATGAGGGAAAGGGACAGCTATTCGAGTGGACTCTCGTACCTCGATTCCTGCAACACCTGCAGCAGAACCTCAAGATGCTCCTTGCTCATTCCAGCAGCAACATTGGGATCCATAGCTACGCCTGATGATGGTCGGTGCTGGGATCCAGGGCACTTCGTCGTCAGGGTTGATTTGACACGGCCCCTGCAAATCTGGGGAGGACCCTTGAGATGGTTGTCGCCAATTTGAGGATGTGAATCGCAACGGCAGCAGGTCCCCTCGGTTCACGGCATAAGCACACCAATGGGCTGACCGTATTCCCCTTTGCGTTTGCCCTTTTTCCCAAACGCGTGTAAATCGCGGTGGACCTTGGGATGCTCGTTAAGCCATTGGCCGCGATGGTTCATAAAGGTTGAAGATTCCGTCGTCTGTTTTTGCGTGCTGGCGTCGGGCGGACGAGGAAGAACGCACTCCTTTTCTGAGCCGTGCGGCAAGTTCTGTCTGCACGCTGCCTTCCAAAATTTCGCACGCGACAAACAGCCGTGCGAGAATGGTTTGATCAAACCTGCTCGTGCTTGATCTGCTGTCAACAAGTTGATGAGCGTCATTGAGCACGCTCGGGTTGACGGCCTCACCGACACTCACCGACGTCTTGAACCTGGCTCTCGCAATTGCTGATAACGGGTTAAAGACACAATCACGTCGACATGGGCAAAGGGTGACCGGCCTGGATGAATCTGTCGGTCGCGTGAGCGTGGCAATGCGAGCGATGCTTGCCTTCGTGATCAACACGAAACCAAATTCGCATGTCCATCTGCTAACGCTTCCGAAAAGCATGTCCGCACCCAACCAGCCCATCGCCGAGCTCGCCATCGTTAACCTCGACACAGAGCTGCATCTCGTTTTGGGGCTCGAGCTCAGGCCCGGCTATTAGGGTCCATCTGGCAGTTCAGGAGAAGTAGAGTTCGCGGATGGCATGCATGTGGTGTTGTTCAGCAACAGGGACTCGTCGTGAGCGGTTCAAGGCCAAATGGAGGTGAGCGATGTTGAAGCAAAGCGGGTCTGCAGCTGGCTAATTAATCTGAACATCCCCGTCCGCAAAACAGAAAGCAAATCCCTATCCTCGTTGACAAGGCTTCTCCTCTTGCGGCCGTGGAAGGAGCGCTTTTGGATGAGCCTGGACGACGACCGGAGCTGAAGACGAAAGCTACCGCGTAGCTCGGTGTGAGGTTTTAGAGAGGTGCGTGCATAACAGTGCTGGTGCGGCGTTAGACGAAAAGGCATCCTTTCCACTCAGTGATCCAACCGGTACCCGGGAATGGCGAAAGTGATCATGATGCAATGAAAGCGATGATGGTCTTTAATAAACATCTCAAAGCTACATAAGCTTAAGTGCCCTCCACGCCATCATGATCATCCCGGCGCACAGTCTCACAGTTCCGATCAGCATCAGGGTCGCC